TGATAACTGCTCCTTGACTTTCTCAAGACGAATGAACGGATTTTGAAAGACAAACACCACATACGCACGTACAGACAAATTACACGCTTCATTATAAGTAATGATATGGATAGACTGAAATGTTAACAAATATTTCATTACAATTTTATAGGCAGCTGATTTGCTCAGTGGCAAGGACGATGAATGTGAGCCTCTTGTTAAAGTTAGTGTTTGATTTCATATGCTTCAATGTCTTTTGAGCTGTGCCTCTACGACGAATTGGCTGACTACTTTTCTAAAGCTTGCAGAAGTTCAAATAGCTATGTTGCGTGATGGAATCAATCCTAAAATACTCTTAATCTCCATTTTCAGTCACATGTTCTCTTTCCGGTGTCTAAAATGAAACCTCATACATCGCAGGTAAATTTGATCAGTCACAAATTTTGTTTAGTCGTTATTCAACAAGTAACTTTGAAATTGTTTCGAATTAAATATCATTTCAAATTTCAGACTGTTCACCCAATGATAGAACTTGCTCTGCGTCCCGAATCAGTGGGTTATCATGTCGAAGGTTTTGAAACTTCTCTATATTATGACTTTTTTGCGCTCAGGATCGCCTGGAGGAACGTATACGAGCACTGAAGGCAGAGGACTTAAAGGCACCACTTGAAGGTTCTTATGATCTCGTTCGACCAACTAAACCTAATGCTGTTGCTCGATCATCACCACTTGGAAGAAAAGGCAAAGTCGTGGTCAGGAGAGTTCACCAGTTTTTCAATGAGCTCAAAAGACTTCTTGGAAACTCCTGCCGAGGAACGATTCTAGCGAGACCCGTAAAAATGACGGCCCTGGCATGTGGAGTTTCTACTGTGACAGTGAAAAGGATCGGGGTTAAAGAGAAATTTGTGCATGAGCTCATACCACGCACTGTGAGAGACCCAGCAGCGAGCGAAGAAGCCATGCAGGAGGCAACATTACGGAAGTATGGAATTGAATGGGGTCCAATTGTGAAGTGGTTTATTAGAGAACAACTGAAAAAAGAGCATATGACTGTGTGCGCATTGCATGAAAAGCTGTGTGAAGCTTACGCCGATTTTCCTATGTCAGAAAGTACTTTGAGACGTTTTGTGAAGGCTTTAGGCGTCACATATGGTAGAATCAAAGGTATTCCGTATATGCTTGTATAGTTACCCTGTGTGATAAACTGTTCTTGTCATGTTCAGCGGTCATGTGGGCAAGGGATATATCCTCCTTTGTACCTAAACTTTAGTAAAAAGGTTCGTAGTATGTTTGGAACAAAGTCACAGCAATCTGTTACTGTTTAAGGTGTGCTTTTCCAGCCTATAGATTATCCTGTGCTTCTTTTCTGAAGGGTACCGTGCAAGAAAACCTTGAACGTAAGTTTTACTGTTATCACATTGAGAATGAATCGAAACGCTATTAAATTAGGGTAAAACCTTGTCTACAGGTCTACAACGTATGCTTAAAGAAAATGAGAAGTTACGTTAAGAGCTATTCTTCAAGTATTTCCGAATTTCCTCGAGTTTACTTTGATTACAACTGTTAGTCTTTGACTCTCTCTCACAATCTACTATGTACTTCATACTCATTAGCTGAAATAATTTTATACATTAAAACACATATACAGCATCATTTATCCAGAACAATGTTGTGTCTACCACGACTGCTCACTAGTTTATATCCTAAAGCTCGTACGAGCAGGTACAGTGTGGTTCTGGACAGCTGGAAGTCAACATAGGCACGAGTTAGCTCAGCATGTAGAACACTTGCAGTCATGCCATCTTTGGGCAGCTTATTCTCGATGAAATACTTTACAACTTCGGCCCACTTACCGCCGTACTTCAGTAGTATTTTTTGCCGGGACTCCTCCTTTGAACGTTTGAACTTCGTTTCTGAACGCGGGAGCAATTCATACACGAAGTCCGGTCGGGATCCTACCCTCGTTACTGTGTCGGGGGTAACTCCGCAAGCCCATGCGGTTAGCTCAACCGTCGAATTAAATATAGTTCCCTCACATGAATCTCCCAAGATTTTTTTGATCTCTTCGAAAAATAGCCGCACACGTCTGATCATAATCTTGGATCTTTTCCCCAGCACTGGACGACATAGTTCGTCTGCGTTTATTGCTGCCAACTGGTCAAGTGGAAGGCGCCGTATGAGAGTGCAGAGTCGCTGAAACGAAGTGATTGGTGAACAAAATAAACACGCATGAGAGGTTACAAGAGTGCAAAACTGTGAGACTTACTTGATCATTATAATCTGAAGGGTTAACGTGCGAAGAGCTGCTCTGCAAAAAAAAA